CAGAAGTCCAACAACAGAACACCACTCAAGTTCAGATCGGGTAGGCCATTCCTCCCACCCATGCCCCTCCAGGTCTCACTGTCATTGCCCACGTGAGCATTGAAGTCCCTCAGCAGAACAAGGGAGTCCCCAGGAGGGGCACCCTCCATTACCCCCTCTAAGGACTGCAAGAAGGGTGGGTAATCTGAACTGTTGTTCGGCCCGTAAGCACAGACAACAGTCAGAACCCGTCCCCCCACCCTTACGCGGAGGGAGGCTACCCTCTTGTTCACCGGGGTAAACCCCAACGTACAGGCGCCAAGATGGGGGGCAACAAGTATGCCCACTCCTGCCCGGCGCCTCTCACCGCAGGCAACTCCAGAGTGGAAGTACGTCCAGCCCCTCTCAAGGAGACTGGTTCCAGAACCAGAGCCATGCGTCGAGGTGAGGCCGACTGTTTTGGTTCCAGAACCAGAGCCATGCGTCGAGGTGAGGCCGACTATTTCTAGCCGAAACCTCTCAGCCTCGCACACTAGCTCCGGCTCCTTATCTCCACATCAGTATCATGATTCTTATTTACAAAGATTCAAAACTGATTTAAAATGTCCCAAAATTAATTTTTAAAAATGCAAAAATAAAGCAAATCCATTGGCTGTCAGCCTCCATTTTGTAATAATGTAGGACGTCCTGACATCACCATGCCGCTGCTTCTGGTACGTATGCATGAGCAGAAAGCACCAAAACAAAGATGAAACTACAAAACTGGAGGAAAGATAGATTCAACTGACCCTGTCTTCATTGAATGCAAAGATTTGGGCTCAGTTTGGTTTTCGCTGAATGAGTCTGAGTTTGGCATGAGCTTCACTGTGTGCAAGGTTTGTAAAATGAAGCTGAAGCACTTTGGGAACACGACAAATGAGCTAGCATTATCAGGTTTGAATGAAAAATCCATTTTGAATTGAATCGTGGCCCCAAAAATCAGAATCAAATCGAATTGTGAGACAGTAAAAGATTCCCACCCCTAATGTGATGTAACCGGAGTGTTCAGTAAAGGTTTATGGACCAATCTAACGTCAGCTTATCAACACTAACTCCAACTTATCCATGCYAATCGCTAGCCTCTCAAATATTAACACCAGTCTATCCATGCTAGTCACTAGCCTCTCCGATGCTAACCTAAATGAATAGTTTACTTCTCATTTTCCAGTGCCGGCCTCTCAGGTACCAGGGCCAAACTATCATTAATCAGATCAATAGCTGGCTGAGGAATAGATATAGCCTCCTGTTCCAAGGATGTAGCAACTGATGGTTTTGCAATACTCGTAATTTTACCGTGCAACACTCACAAGCCACTGGATGAGTTTTATTGAAACTCAATAAGTAATCATTGGATTGAAAACTCATTAACTTTTAGTGTCAGTCCAATGGAAGATGGCACAGGCAACAAACACAAAAACTGTCAATTTTACAGATAGGGAGCTACAGCTTGCTGTGGTAGGAGCTGAGAGTCATTCACAACACACACTCTGAGTGCTGACACTTCTGACCCAAACAACCATAGCTCCATTCTGATTTCATTTAGCACAGTTCACACACATATGTGAGATCTTAGGCACTTCATTTGTTGGAAAGTTCCTTTCGTTATGTTTCCTCTGCGGGTTCAGAGGCACAGACGGGACCCAGAGGAGCCATAAACCCAGGAGCAGGGTGTTGAGCTCCCTGTTAGTGTTGATGGAACCAGAAGTGATCCGATAAGCTGCAGCTGCTCCGCTCTTCACCACATCAACAAGAAAGGAGCTCAGCAATAACAATAAAGTCAGCTGACTGAAGAGGGTTTAATTGAAGGGCTCCTGGAGCTTCTGGGACAATGAGGGACTGTAAAACCTTAAGTAGAGTGATAAAATGCTGCGGGAACAATGTGATGAGTGGGACGAGCTGTAAATCTGTTAGGAGCTGAGTGTGCCTGGAGAATCAGTGACTCGTTACAGAAACCTCTCAGCCATGCCAGAACTCATTTTATCCAATGAAATCTGCATCAAATGCACAGAAGACAAAGTTGTGCAACAGGTTGGAAGTGGGGGAAAAGGAGCAGCGTTAGGTTTGACTCTGACCTTAAATGAGAGTTAACTCTGCTCCAGCTTCCAGTAAGTGAGCGGTAACGTGCACAGTAATGCTCCTGCACTGCCAGGGTGAGGATATCTTACACAGAATCGCTCCGCGACGGTTAATAAAGACTTCAGGGTGAGTGAGTGATTCATTGTTCAAGCCTCCCTCTGCTTTTTCACCCAAACGTCCCTCGGAGAAGACGAAGACCTCCATCCATCAGATCTGTGTTTGTGGTCTTCTCCAAACCAAACAGACAGCCTGAAACATGCCGTTGCCTCCCGCCCTCTCATGATGGCCTTATCTGTTTGTTGCTACTTCATGATTAAATCCAGACATTTTTCCATCTACAGATTTTCTCTTTTTTCTCAGGACTCGTGTGATCACTGACGAGTATTTATAGCTGCTCTTTTCTCTTCAGACCAAACTTCAGTTCTGCTAGATGAGAAGCAACAAACAAATCTTTTGTCCTGCAGTAATATAAGCAGCAGCGTCCTTCATGTCTGCTTCTTTTCTTTGTCATGGTGAGCTGATTTTAAAGGAACAATGAGGTTTGATGCATTCAGCGGTGGAAAGCCATTCGTTGGGTCTCGTTCCCAGCCTGATGCTAAGTCTGGGTGTCCTCACTTGTCAGCTGGTTAGGAGACATATGACAAGAGACCAAAACAATATTTATCTTTCCCCTGAGATGAAAACAGCCAATGATGTGCTCCTTTCTATCTGACAAAACCAACTGCAGACTGAAAAAGGCGAGTCCCAGGACCGCAGCATAAACACCGAGGCAATTCCTTAAACAAACGTAACTTTAAACCTCTCTAGAGAACTCGTGGAAAGTCTGGTTCCAATGTGCATCTAGTGTTTGTTTGCTCACCATGATACCTGGAATTCAGGCTGCCACAATTTTCAGTTCTGCAAACAAATAAAAGATTCAAGTTCTTGTGTGCATCACTCACATTTTATTGCTCAAGTCCTGGAGCCGTTTTCAAGGAGCACAACGCTCAGCATGAGCTTTTCAATAACCAAAAACTTCACTGTAGCCCTGTCTGTAAGGTCTCTTTCTACATATATCTCCATGTACAAATACACTGAGTGTATGTATGAGTGTACATGTACATGTGTATTTGTGACACTATTTTATGACTGATAAGTTGGAAATAATTCATTAAACAGACTCATTTGGCAAAATTCTGACATTTTCTTAAAGACAAATTCTGTCCTGGTTTGTAAAGGTTTTGAAGTTGGACTGACTGTAAAGCTCAAACTTAAAAACTAAAGCTGTCCTAGATATTGATCTGACTCATTTTAGATTAAGTATCAATCAATACCAAATTTCCACCTGATCCCTGCTAGTTTGCATGTTTTAGCATGACACACTACCAGATTACAGTCTGCATGTCTAAATGCACTGCTCTCATTAACACGTTTGGTTTTCTTCCCATAAAAACTCAAACTTTGTCCTCTAATCCCAACCAATCAGGCAGCTAGATGAACCATCCTGACCCTGGTCCTGATCATGGTTCTGATTCTGGTTCTGCTCAGAATGGGAAACTGTAAAAATTTCTATGAATGAAAAGTTTTATGTGACTCAAACTGAACGTAACTGGTTTGAATCGGGATTTGAACTGATTTATGATTTGGGCACGGCTTTTCTTTTGGATACCGACCCTGAAATACATTTTGTTGGGATTTGGAAATGTATAAATAAACTGGATTAAATTAAATTAAATTAAATTAAATTAAATTAAATTAAAGAGGATTCAGATTGACCTTCTGGTTTCATTAGGCTAAAAGTAGAAGCTAATGTTACAGGGAACTTACCAAACTCACTGGCACAGAGGTGCTCCAGCACGGCATCACCTTCCATGTCATTGTCACATGGAGGGCAGACAGGAGGTAAACCTGTGGAGGCAAAGAAATAAATATTCAATGAAAAAACATGGTCAAATATCTAACACAGCAGTGACTAATCCCAAACAATCAGTTATCTGTCCTGAGCTAACATCTGTCAATTCAATTCAGTTTATTTATATAGCGCCAAGTCACAACATACGTTGTCTCAGGGCACTGTGCATAAAAAAGAACAATCTAAAGAAGAAACCAGCAGACCGTGTTGAATCATTTCATCACAGTCTCCCATCCTGAGCAAACGGTGGAGAGGAAAAACTCCCTGCTAATCAGGAAGAAACCTCCAGCAGAACCAGGCTCAGGACAGGCGGCCATCTGCCTCGACCGGCTGGTTGAGGGACAGGAAAGAGACACAGACAAACAGAAGAACTGGTCCAGGTGCACTTACTTCTGGAAAAGAGACAAAGAAAAAACATGTTTTTGATAGAAAAAATTACAATAAACATGTAGAGAAGAGAGACTAAAGACAACAGCAGTGTGTCTTTAGTCACAAACAGGAAATGTGCTCAGTTTGTGCTCCAGCAGTCTAAGTCTATAGCGGCAGAAATGAGGAATAATTCAGGAAACCTAAGTCTAACTATAGGATTTACCAAAAAGGAAAGCCTTCAGTCTAATCTTAAAAGTAGACTAGAGTGTCAGCCTCATGGACAGAAACTGGAAGTTGGTTCCACAAGAGAGGAGCTTGATAACTGAAAGCTCTGCCTCCCATTCTATTTTTAGAAACTTGAGGAACCACAAGTAAACCTGCAGTCTGAGAGCGAAGTGCTCTGTTAGGAAAGTATGGAACAATAAGATGTTTAATATATGATGGAGCTTGGTTGTTAAGAGTTTTGTATGTTAGGAGTAATATTTTAAAATCTATTCTGAATTTGACAGGGAGCCAGTGGAGAGAAGCTAAAACTGGAGAAATATGATCTCTTCTTCCAACTCTCATTAAAACTCTAGCAGCAGCATTTTGGATTAACTGAAGACTTCTTAAAGAGTTTTTTGGAAGCCCAGATAATAAAGTATTACAGTAATCCAGTCTAGACATGATAAATGCATGAATCTGTTTTTCCGCGTCATTTTTTGGACAAAATGTTTCTAATTTTAGTAATATTACGCAGGTGGAAGAAGGCGGTCCTGATAACATTTTTAATGTGGGGTTTAAAAGACATATCCTGATCAAAAATAACACCAAGGTTCTTTACATTAGAACTGGAGGCCAGATTAATGCCATCCAGAGGAGGTGAAAGGCTGCAAAGTTGATCCCTAAGATGTTCAGGTCCAAAAACCATAACCTCTGTCTTATCTGAATTTAGAAGCAGAAAATTAAGAGTCACCCATGTTTTTATGTCTGTAAGACATGCTTGTAGTTTAAGTAACTGGTTGGATTCATCAGGTTTCATGGATAAATATAACGGAGTATCATCCGCATAGGGCGGCACGGTGGCTCAGATGGTAGAGCTGATGCCTCTCAGCAAGAAGGTCACCGGTTCAAATCCCGGTCCGGGGACCTTTCTGGGTAGAGTTTGCATGTTCTCTCCATGCATGCGTGGGTTCTCTCCGGGTACTCCGGCTTCCTCCCACAGACCAAAAACATGACTGTTAGGTTAATTGATAACTCTAAATTGTCCCTAGGTGTGAGTGAGAGAGTGAATGGTTGTTTGTCTCTATGTATGGCCCTGTGATGGACTTGCGACCTGTCCAGGGTGTACCCCACCCCTCACACTGTGATTGCTGGATATGGACACCAGTGACCCACGCAACCCTGAAAAGGAAGAAACGTGTACAGAATGTGGATGGATCATCAGCATAACAATAGAAAATTATCCCATGCTGTTTAATAACTTTACCAAATGGAAGCATAAATAAAATAAAGAGGATTGGTCCAAGCTAACTCCATGACTAAATCTGGTGTAAGAAGAGGATTCATTAACATTAACAAACTGAAATCTATCAGTTAAATAAGACTCAAACCATTTTATAGCTGTTCCTATAATCCCAATTTCAAGTTCAAGTCTACATAATAAAATATTGTGATCAATTGTATCAAATGCAGCACTGAGATCTAACAGGACAAAAATGGACACAAGTCGACTCTCTTGAGCTAACATCTGTTCTGAGCTAGCATCTGCCCTGAGCTAACAATTGTCCTGAGCTAACATCTGTCTTGAGCACATGTCAAACTCAAAGCCTACGGGCCAAATGCAGGTGACTTCTGTCTGGCCCATAGACCCCCCCAAAACTTATTTTTCTTACTTAATTTAATACGAAAGTCATGAAGTTTTTTTTGTCAAAGTAAACTTTAAATGTATAATTCAGTGCAACAAAATACAAAAGGTGAAATAATACTTGTCTGGTCCCTGAGATGTTGGCTTTGGTAAACCGTGGCCCTCTGATTAATTTAGTTGGATTTACCTGTATTTTTGTCTCAAAATAAGTTGTTTAAAGCCGGTATTGACCATAAACTACAATGCATGTCAGTTATGCATTGGTATTACCTGTTGGAACGAAGGAGAGTTCAGAATTCAAGATTTACCACATTTCAACAGTGAGTCACTTACTTTTATTTTTAATAGTAGTTCTGTATTTTTCACATTTAGTCAGTCGTACATTTCAGTCTTTATAAAAGAACACGTTAAAACACTGTTTCTATGCAGGAAAAACCAGGTAGAGCCCAGTTAGTTTGTTAGCTGTGCTCTGCTGTAGCAATGAGACAAGGAACATTTCATGTTTAGTCAAAGTTAAATACGAAAAGTCAAAGAAAATCACATCTGGCCCTTTGAGGGAYCACCATAACGCTCATGTGGCCCTCAGTTAAAATGAGTTCAACACCTCTTTACAATATTCAGAAGAAATCTGATCAACACCAAAAGAAAGAGCAAAATATTTGTGAGGCTTAATTCATGTTATGAGTGAAGCTTGTTAACAAGAAAAGGTTCTGCCTGGATCAGTCTTTACWTGGAAAAGGTGGAGGAACCTCGATCCCCAGGCTCAGACCTGTAGACCATACCTGGGTTTAACCGAGACACCAGCCTTTCAGAGTTTCATCACTTTAGCTGGGAGTTTGTCAAAAACATTTAAGCAACAAATKTTCTCAGAATAGTCACATTTGCAGTTGAAATAATCTGAATTGTACTTTCAGTAAATCCAGAGGGCAGAAGCTGTATTCGGAACTCAGAACACATCAGAAACCACCTCAAAAACTGCTCCAGATGACCTGGATTCATTTCTAATCTGTACTCCAGCAGATGGGGAAGCTGCTAAGGTGGGGTCCATGTACTTTTTTTGTCATTCCATGTTTGTTTTGAAAATATACTGAAAAAAATATAAATTGATGTTCTTTTTTCTTTTTGTACTCTAAAAACAAGAATGCAACCTGTTGTTTTACACTGCCTGGCAAGAACAAGTGTCCACATGGATGTAATGATGTGGGGTTGCTGCAGGTGTTCAGGTCTAGGTTCAGCAACAGTCTGTGCTCAAAGAATGAGGTCAGCTGACCACCTGAATATACTGAATGACCAGGTTATTCCATCAATGACTGTTTCTTCCCTGATGGCACGGCCATATTCCAAGATGACAATGCCAGGATTCATCAGGCTCTTATTGTGACAGAGTGGTTCAGGGAGCATGAGACATCATTTTCACACATGGACTGGCTCCACAGAGTCCACTGAGAATCTTTAAGATGTGCTGGAGAAGGTCAGACTCTACCATCATCAATGGAAGATCTTGGTGAAACATTAATGCAACACTGGATGGAGATAAATCTGGTGATATTGTAGAAGCTTATCCAAACAATGCCACAGAGAATGTGGTCCAATACAATACAGCAAGACTGTAATCAAAGCTAAAGGTGGTCCAATGAAATATTAGAATGGGACCTTTTTTTGAGTGCCTTTTTTGGCCAGCCATTGTATTTTTTCTCAAACAGGAAGTTAACACTGTCGTTATCGATCATCGGCACTTGGCTCATTGGGAACAAAACAATGTGTGAGCTTGCAGCTGAAAACTCACCTGTGTTCACCTGAGTCTGTCCCCATCATCACGGCTCAGTGATCCGAAGCTCTGGTCAGTTTGAGGTGAAGTCAGGGCTGACAACAATACTCCTAACAGAGCAGCTGGACTGTGTTCACCACATTTAGCAGCAAAATAAGATTTAATTAGAAAACTGGGCCTCGGTCCTGACATTAAATATGTCCCCAGACCCCCCCCCCGCAGCACCCAGGGGGTCTTTAAGAGGAGCAGTTTCAGCTCCAGACTAAAACAGGAGGAGGTCTGATCAAATCAATGAGGGGTTTGTTTCCTCCTCCTCCTTGAGGTGGACAGCAGCCAGACTCTTCAACCAGAACCATTCAGAACTCAGCTTGGACCATTATTCTGGATCATTCGTCGAGTCCAGAGAGCCCAGACCCTGAGTCTGCCTCAGGATCATCAGTTTTATGAGTTCTGTCAGAAAAGCAGGTATTTTCCTGCCTTCAAGCTCTTCTCAGCAAACACCTCGAAACAAATGATTCCCAGCTGCTCGGCACATCCGTCCAAAAACTAACCGGGACTTTAAAACACGCTGAGATCACATTCAGCTTAACGGCACAATTATCTGTTGTTTTCTTTCCCAACAGGTTGCATTTGTTTCTTTGTGCTTGGATT